TGCTTGCACCATCCACGCAACAAGGTCAAAGAGTTTCTCCAGTTCAGGGTTGCTGGACAGAATATCTTTGAGTTCATTGATTATTGTTGTAATAATAAAAGAAACCATTTGGGCACAGTCGTGGAGTAGTGAGGAATGAGATCCCGTTCACTATTTTCAGGGACGTAGTGTTTGCGCATGAGAGCCCTGTAGAATATTTTCCGGAATAGTTTTTGTTATTTATTTTGAACCAAACTTCGTTTTTTTTTTTTTTTTTTGTGGATTGTTTTGTTATATCGTTCCTTTAATGTTAAAATTGAAGGAATTTGATTAATGAAGGGTCATGCTTCAACTTGTATTATGGTACATTTTACTTTGATATATCATCACGATGCTCTGTTTTGGTGTTTAGAAATTTATAAATAATTTGCCTTCTCAGGTCATCTGTCTTGAGACGTTCCACAGAGCTATTGCCTTGAGTGTGCCTTTTATTAGCATACGATTTTACGGGTGTGGTGAATTTGGAGTAATCGTTTTTTTTTTTTTTTTATAATCGTTGATAGCTTCCTTCACCTGAAACATGACCAAATTCATAATTACTCATTAGGTTTTATTTATAAAGTAGAGAGAGTGTTTTCTTTAATCCTATTTATAAAGTATATCAATCATTATTATATTTATTTTTACCATTCTGTTCCTATTAAAATTGGGAAGTTAATCAAATGTTTGAACATTTTATTTTTAAAGTAGGTATACTTGATATGAATAAAATTGAAAACTTGTTTAATTTCTAAATAGAGTTAATAAAATTTAAGGTTTTTATTGTTTTTGTTAAAAATATTGAAAGTGATTTATAAATATAATTAAAAGAAATATATTTTAATAGTCATTGACTGTGTTTCTTTATTATTTTATTTGTTTTTTTTTTTTTTGGGTTTTTGTCTTTCATTGCTTGATTGAGGGCGTGTTTGGTACATTACATAAAGTATTTATTAAAAAGACAAAATGTGAACACTACATAAACGTTTAGCTCGAAAAAAATGTTTAGAGTGGAAGTGAAGAAAAAAACAAAATGTGAACACTACATAAACGTTTAGGTCGAAAAAATGTTTAGAGTGGAAATGAAGAATGTGTGCGTGTGTAAGTGAGACAGGTGTATTTATTATTTCTTTGGGAGAATTTTAACTAAGGGTATGGGAAAAGAAATATTTATTATTGGGTTTAAAAAATAATAATCTGAATTCTCTGCAAGAATTTCAAACTAAACTAAAATAAAATGAGTGGTTAAAAAAACCAAAATGCCCTTATGCAAAATTAACAAGTACTTGATTATTACCTAACTTTACTTGTTAACTGCTTACTTGTACTTATTAATTCCTTAACAATATATGTTAAATTGTTAATTAGTTAATTTCATGACTCATAATCTTAAAAACATTACTTGTTAATTTCATAACTTCATTTGTTAATTTGTCAACATAACTTGTTAATTATTTAATTTGACTTGTGAATCCTTTATAAGACTAGCTCACTCAATTTGACCAAAAAGCACCATCATTAGTTGTTAATTTTTTTTACTTCACTTGTTAATGTATAAATATCAATTGTAAATTATCTACTTCACTTATCAATAATCATATTAATATCAATTGTTAATTATTTAACTTGTTAAGTTATCAGTATCAATTGTAAATTATATAACTTGTTAATCATTATATGAGTTCAATCATTTTGTCCTAAATGCAAAATCATCAGTTGTTGATTCTTTAACTTGTTAATTTACCACTATTAATTGTCAATCATTTTTTTCTTTCTTTTATAGAAGAGTATTTCGATCTTTTCAATCATTCATTTTAGTTCAATTCAATCTACAAATCCTGCAAAGAATTTTCAGATTTTTTGAAACCCACTAATAAATATTTCTCTTCTATGATCTTTAATTGAAATTCTCTCTAAATATTTATTGTATCCCGGAACACTTTCTATGGAGAAAAAAGAAAAAAGAAAATGCAAAGCCGAATGCTATACTGATAGCCATAAGATCTTTTATATATCATGATTAATACATGTTCATATAGACACATGATTGGCATTCAACGTATAGTCTTAATCATATAAATTAAGCACCAGCTGTTGCAGAAGTACTAAAATAACAGCTTATTCTAGTGGGGATTTATGATGGGTATGATTACTACTTCTAACACCACTGTTTAATATGGATCAGATAAGAATGCTACATTTTTCTTATAGGGAAAAAAAAATTAATGCCTAATTTTCCTATCCATTAACTCCATAGTCTTTTCATTTGCAATTTTTAATTTTGAACGATATTTTGATCATTAAAATATAATTAACAGAGACACACATGTTGGCCATGGCGCGCGCGCACGTGTATGAGGGGTTTCAATTTTTCATCGCCGTAGCAAATTCCGGGACACATGCATGAGGTAATATTACATAAAACTGTTCCCAATAATTGCTACCAACAATAGTTGGTCAAATTGATAAGAATATATTCCCTCCAATTCTATTTGTACGACACATTTTAAAAGTAATTTTTAATCTAGAATATCAAACACATTATAAAACTACTTTTTTTCAATTTATCCTTTTTAATTAATATGAAAACATTTAATATTGTTATATCTTTATTTAAAGATAAGGGTAAAAATGGAAGCATATCTTATTTTTTTATGATATAAAAAAATTAATTTTTTTTAAAATATGTGAAACGGTTAACAATATCCTAGAATAAGGACTAGAAAGAGTAACTCATAATTTACAAAATCATGATGGTTATTTATATCTATCTCTATAAGTATTTTTTTTAACTTTGAAACAAACCTTGACTTGGTGAGTTTTCAAGACTTAATTCAGTTAAACTTTTTCTTAAATTAAAAAAAAAAATAATGGCCTATTAGCTCAGACTCAGTAGTCAGTTCTCCCGATCATGTTGTCCTCATTCTAAACCTGAGAACAGCATACACAAGTTCTCTGACTATGATGAGGATTAGTAATTTTGCTCCCATATTTTCCTTGTTTAAATTAAGGGCCACAGCTCGACCGTTTCCAAAAAGAAAATGGTTAAGAGAATAAGAATGTTTTTAATTCGAGGAAAAGGGAAGGAAAAAATACACACACACACATATATATATAAACAACTTTATTCTTATATTATTAAATTCTTTTCTAATAAAATATAATGATAAATGTTTTTAACATGTAATTATAACTATATAGAATAATTATCATCATTAAATATATTATTAAAAATCTATCATTGTTAAAGTTATTTAAAAAGATGAAGAGTAACAATTAAAAGACTCCCCGTTCCTCCAATTTGAAGGGGAGGGTTTGGAGGAAAGAGAAGAGCAAATTTTTTTTAAATTTTTCTTTTTCTATCTTTTATTTTTTAAAACCAAATAAGAGAAGGGGAGCTAAAATCTCTCCTCTCTCCCCCCTTTTTCCCAACCAAACGGACTCCAAGGCTCATCACAAAAGTCCAATAAAATGAAATTACTAACCTTATGGAAAGTATGTCCAATTCAATCACATAGCTAACAAGCCCAACTAGCACAATGATAAAATTGCTTAAACATCTCGAGGGTTCATATTTTATATTAGCTTTTATTATGGCCTCATTCAAAATTTGAGACTTGTTTTGGTCAAATTTTATTCATCAAAGTTGTTGTCAACAACAAAACATGTTTGGAGTACAAGTACATGAAAGCTGTGTCAACTGTAGGAACTGAACCTGACAAATTTTATTTAGGACACGTTTGATAATCTATTTTTAAAATCGTTTTTTGATTAAAAAACAAGAAAATTTTAAAAATACTTGTCTGAAAATATAGACCCGTTTGATTATGTTTTCATAACAGTTTTTTTTAAATAAAAAATAAAAATAATCTATTTAGAAATGTATTTTTTATTATCTATTTTGAAAAATAAAATAGTTAAAAGTTGTTTTCAAAAAACAAAAAAAAAAACCCAACACCTTTTATAAGTTATGTTATTTTTGTTTTGCAAAACTGAAAAAAAAAGTACTATGCTTTCAATTAACAACAATTATATTAATAAAATAAATTATTTTTTCACCCTCTATTTTACCAATTTATATGTTTTTTTTAAATAATAATTCAAACTATTTTTTTTTTATTTTCAAAATTTCTTGTGAAATACCAAATAAAAAAACATAAAATAGAACCAAACATGCACACATTTTTCATTATTCATTCTAAAAACATATTCCCTCCGTTTAAAAATATAAAATATTCAACCGAATCTCATCCTCAATAAAACAATTACCTGCTTTTTAACTAACCATATCTTTCCATACTTATCTCTATTAAACACCTTATAATAAATATAAAATCACCATTAATAATGGCACTTAAAAAAAAAGGCGATGATTACATATTGAATGACTAAAAATACCTTACATTTTTAAACATTTAATTTTTTAAAAAATACTTTATATTTTTTAAGGGAAGAAATAGAAGTTAAAAGGCATTATAAAAAGCTAGAACATTTTTTTATGTTTTGGTACATTTTATTATGCAAATTATGTTAATAAAATAAACTATTCTTCCACCCTTCATTTCAGCATCTTAAATATGTTTTCCAGAATAATAATTCACACAGAATTTTTATTTCCAAAACTTGTCCTAAAAAAGTATTCTTGAAAATTGTTCTTAAAATAAAATATTAAACAGAGTCAAACAAGCCCTTAATTGTTAGTTGGAGGGGAGTTGAGGGAGAAAAGAATTTAACAAGTCTGATTTAAACGAAAAATGGAGAGTTATAAATTTTAATTAAAAAAATGTAAGATAAAATACTAAGGAGAATTAATTGAAAGCTTTCAACCCCACTACTCCAATTTTTGATATTGAACTCATAAAAATCTCCCTTCCATTTTCCTCCAACCAAACATGGATTTAATCTTACGGACTAACTTTCCTTTCTCCGAAAATTAAGATCACGTAACTATAATTAACAAAATGAAAAGAATCCTTCAACAATAACAGAACTTTCCCTTTAATTGGTAGACTTTGCATTTGAGCCAAAGTAAAGAGACCAATATAGATCACGTCTAAAGTAACAGAAAGTTAAAGCCCAAGGAACTCAACCCTTACCTCTAAATCTATTATATGAAGTAATCAAATAAGAGGGGCAACACAAAGTGATCATTGAACAAAACATCAGAGTGGATTCAAGTTTCGCAAAAATAAAGCCTAACATCACACGATAAGCAGCTATCCTCTAAAATCGAACTGGGGAGTGTATTAAACAAAACTGCCAAAAGTTGACCTGATAATATTACCTCTTGAGGAAACAAATCAAGATGATGTTACTTCTTTCTCCTTTTATTTCCTGGGGTAGAATTCTTGTTCGATCCTCTGAAGTCATTTGTGGTCTCAGCTGTATTCTGCTTTTTGAGTCCCTTCCTGCCTCCGAAACCAAATTTAGAATTCCTAAATTCCCGTTTCTTTTGTTTCTTTCCTTGTCCAAACCCTTGCTTAGCCTTACCTCCAGACCGATCACCTGGGTAGACGCCGGGCCTTTTCTTGTTTGACCTCTCGAATACTTTTCCATCCTCAAAGTTGAAATCCAGATCAGCATCGTTCCCACTCCCAGCAAAACCACTCTGTTGCCTTTGCTTCCTCCACTTTTTAACAGATTCTATCCCTTCCTTTTTCTGCTTAGCTCTTTCTTTCAATTTCTGGGCCTGAATTTCTTTAGACAATCTTTTGGCCTCCCTGGCCTTTCTTCTCTCTTCAGCCTCTTCCATCTTCCTCTTCTCTGCTAAAAGCCGGCCCTTCACCTTCTCCATATGTGAATCTGTCTTCACCATTTCTGCATAATAGTCTGAAGGTCTAAGGAAAGGAATATCCATTGACTGAAACTTCTCAAAAGCCTGCCTAGTTCCCTCCAATGCCTGAGTGTAAAAAGAAAGTTCCCGTGCCAAGTCATCGTTCACATCTACTTCTTGCTCTTGATCTATATCAATGGAGAGTTTATGTATCCATTCCACATTCTCTGGCCAGCATATGTCTCCAAGTTTATCCAGGAGACCATCCCTGTTGAATATTGCATTTTTAGACGGTTCAGTCAATTTCACATCTTCTCCTGATTCTGACTCTGATTCAGATCCAGAGAGTTCTTCATTCATATCTTCAACCTCATCATTAATCATTTTAGACCGTTCCTTATTAAGCACTCCCATTCAACCTGTAGAAAAGTTGCAGGATAAAAATTAAAACAAACAAATGGTCTCTAGTATTTTACAGTTTCCATTCTCTTCTTTTGGGTTAAATAATTATTCATTCAAAAAATTCAAGGTACAGAGCTTCCTCAGGGCCCCCCCCCCCAAAAAAAAAAAAAAAAACAAAACAAAACAAAAGAAAGAAAAAGAAAGCTAACTTTACATTCATTGCAAGATGGGCAACTTGATAAACATGAACATGAAGCACAGCAAGCTTCCTCAGCCAATAGGCAGAGCTCAGCACTATCATGGGAGAGACATAAAGCACAATAAATAATACCAGTTTTGCAGAATGCATCGTTGGAAGCACATAGCTTTTAGGTAAGATTTTTTTCCCCTTCCTTTTGAACATAACTGCAAGCTTAATAAATACATACTTGACATTTAAAAATCACCAAAGAGGTAGAATTTGAACGCAAGCAAAGATAAAACTAATAAAACAACGTTCTTTCTTTTACCAAATAGACATTCAGCATTCATATATATATATAACATTAAACATTCTATTTTCATCAGAACAAAAAGAGCTCCAAGTTTCCCAAAAAGAAATACAGAAAAGAACCTCCAAGTTTCCAACAGTAATTAGGGCTTAGCATCTTAAATCAAACATTGATAAATGATGCTCTAAATTTGTAACAACGCTACTCTAAATTTGCAACTATTGACAAATCCAACATTACACAAAACTATACACATTACATGACTTGCTAGCAAAAAAAAATGAAGAGGGCAGAAGTATAGTAGCCAGTTACACACCATTGAAGCAAAAACTAGCACTAAAACTTCATTTTTCGAAACAAAAAAGTAAAAAGCATCAATATTCAAACGATTAGAAGACCATATTCAAAGCCAAATTAAACTGAAAAATGTAAAACAAAGTAAGAAACAGTGCGACAGCGTCCAACACAGGATTGGCAACAACGCGGGAACAGAGGCGGGGAATAAATTCGAAGTTAGATTCAAAGCCAGATTGATCAAATGAATCTCACCGGACTTTGGGAGTAGGAAAAGCCCTAGGGTTCGCAACTTCTTCAATACTTGCCAGAGAACAGCAGAACACCCACGCAGGGCTGACACAGCGTCCGACGGCGCTTCGACCAAGCGCGGAATGCTTGTTCTGCAACGAAGAAAAATGAAACCCCTACTTCTTAGCGGTCGAGAAGCTTATAATTAATTTTAGGGAGAATTAAGCTACCTCAGAGAACAAAACTTATCTTATGACTCTCTCCATATAAAAATTTTAATGAAAAAATGATAATAATTTTTTTAATTATATAAATAATAATTTAATTTATTAAAATATCATAATTATACTAAAAAAATTTTTATTAATAAATTTTAAAGTGAAAAAATTATTTTACTTTTATTAAAAATATTAAGCTCTAATTATAATTTTTATTTTATGAATTGTAAGAATTGAATAAAAAATTATATTTTATCAAGTGTAATTTCTATTATGAAAAAACAAGTTTTTAAAATAACAAACTTCAATCACAACTTTTGTTTAAAGAATAACAACTTTTATTCAAAAAATTGTAAGAATTGAATAAGAAATTACAACTTATCAATAAAGGTAAAATGGTCTTTTTAATTTAAAATTTATTAATACAAAAATTTCTAAAGACTTAAGTTGAATTATGTCATTTTCAAGAATTAAATTATTATTTATATAATTCAGAAAAATTTTATTATTATTTTCTCATTTTTAATTGAATTATACTCTAAGAAAGTAGTTAGTTGTCTCTTAGTTATGATCATTTTGTCATGTTTACTCCTATTTAATGGGGATATTTTATTTTAAAATAAATAAAAAGTGACTTATTTATTATGAACAATTTTCATAAAAATATATTAATTATACCTTAAAATACTAAAAATATCTTATATTTTTTAATATTCAAATCCTCAAAAAATACTTTATATTTTTTAATGGTAAAGTATTAGTTAATTTTTTTGCCAGCTTTATCATTAGTTAATTAATCATTATTACTTTTAATTTATACAATTATATTCTAAAAGTATAATGATCTTAATATTTTTGGATTTTTAATATGAGTATCTTACATCTATGTTCTAAACTCCTCCATACAAAATAAAATTTTTACTGGAATTTTATTTTATTTTTTCTCAAAACAAATGACATAAAATATATTTTTAAATAGGGCTTTTTGTTTTGAAAAATAGGTAATCAAATAGGCCTAAATTGATCTCAAAACATGTTTTGAAGGGCGAAAAACTTGTTTCATTCATTATTTTACATGATTAATATCACATGCCAAATGAGTATTTAGAATTAAAGTCAAGAAAACGGATTGAGCTCATCAGGCTAGCTCGTTTAAACCCTATAACAATAGGTCAGGCTTGTAAATAGAATACTAACATAGTAAATCAAGCCCATTTAAACTCGTGTAATTTCATATTTAAATGGGTCGACCCTTAAGGATCGAGGGCCATCGTTTTTAAGCCCATATGTACATTTTTTTTTCAATTTTCATAACTTTGACTCTTTTTAGACTTGAAAAAAATTAAAGTAAATATTACTCCACATCATATATGAGCCCATATTTGAATACAGCCCTAAATCTTTTAATTCATCTAGATCTCTCAATCCTATACCTCAGTCCATTAATCTCATCTAATATAGATTCGATGTTTGTTGGCTTAGATAATCCATTGCTTAATGCCTTAATGTCATTTCATTTGTGTTTTTAGTTCATTTAGGTGTTGTTTAGTTAGTTTTTTTCATTGTTTTCTTGATTGTGTATTATATTAGAATGAAGTGATATTTTGTTTGGTAAAAAAAAATTTTAAAAAAATAAAAATAGCTAAAAGGGCTTGAAGCTTGCAGATCTGGCCCTGAGCCTGCTATGTTCAGGGCCAGGCTTCGCATTTTAGGGTCATAAAGAGAACTTAAACTTAAACGGTTTAGCCTTTTTAGATTTAAGCCCATAAAGGGCTGACCCTACAGGGCCAGGCCAACCCTTTTTCCTAACTCTATTCAAAATATTGCATGAAGTGTGCATTATATCATAACTCTATCTTGATATGCAACAAGATGTGTCCCAATATAACTTGCAAAATATATACAATTCAACAAAATCATATTTTCTTTTCTTTTCCTTTTTTTAATAGCAAGGGAGGATGCTAAGCAATTAGGGTGTCATATTGTAGCAAACTAACTGATTATGGAAAAAAAGATAAATACAGGATGAAAACCAGCTATACAAGATAAAGCTTGTTTAATGAGTATGTTTGCAACTTCATTAGCATCACGCGAGATATTTTGGACTTTCATCCTCTAATCCCAAGCCAACAAAGTTTAAATTTTAGAGATGATGTCATTATTTGAATGTTGAGAGACCTTTTACCATCAATAAATTCTACTATTTCAAAGCAATCAGATCCAGGAATCATCTAATGGTAGCTAAGGTCTCAAGAAAACTTAAGGCCTTACAGGCATGCTTAGAGCTCAACAATTAGTGGTCACCATCATTCATGTTAAGCATAAAACTATCTTTAAATTCACCAATTGAGTTTTGATAAGAACTACCACAATCCTATTTTCCTCTCAAAGGAAGGTTAGTTAAAACTTGAAGAACGCTCATCAGTGGATTGAAATGTCGAAAGTTGTTTGTTGGGCGATTTTAGGAGATGCTAATTTTATCATAAAAGGTACTCATCATGAGAGGCCTAAAGATTTTAGGTAATTTTAGGTGATTTTATCATTAGAAGGTACTCATCACGAGAAGGCATAAAGATGCAGGCAAGAAGGCAAATCATATAAACATTGTAAATAAGGGCTATTTTTGTATATGGATATATATTGACCATAATACATTTGCAGATTCACTCATCCTCTCAATGAACAGGATCAAATTGATCACATGAAGAAAAAAGCAAACAAATTATGAAACTACTAAAGCTTTTAGGTAGCGAACAATGTCAGTAGAACAAATGAACAAATTAAAAAAAGGAAAAATTTCAAGTAAGGACAATGAAAGAGAAATATTTTTCAGTGGGTCCCAAAAAAAACATAAAAATTCTTTGCAGTAATTTTTAGACTCAACTGAAATAAAATAGGCAGTTGAAAAGACCAAAATACCCTTATACAAAATTAGCAACTACTTAGTCAATGCCTAACTTTACATTTTAATTACTTATTTGTACTTGTTAATCCCTTAACAGTATTTGTTAAATAGTTAATTAGTTAATTTGTGACTTTACAATCTTAAAAATATTACTCATTAATTTTATAACTTTACTTGTTAATTTGTCAACATGACTTGTTAACTATTTAACTTAACTTGTGAATCTTTTACAAGGCTTGTTTACTCAAATTGACTAAAAAACACCATCATTAGTCATTAATTTTCTTACTTCACTTATTAATTTATTGATATTAGTTGTAAATTACCTGATTTCACCTGTAAATAATCATACTAATATTAGTTGTTAATTATCTAACTTTTCTTTGTTAATTTACCAATATCAATTGTAAATTATATGACTTGTCAATAATTATACTAGTTCAATCATTGTGACCTAAATGCAAAATTATTAGTTGTTAATTATCTAATTTGTTAATTTATCAATATTAGTTGTCAATCATTTTTCCTTTTGCAAAAAGGTATTTTAGTCTTTTCAACCACCTATTTCATTTCAGTTCAGTCCATAAATCTTGTAGCAAATTTTTATATTTTGTTAGGACCCACTAGTAAATATTTCTGTTTCCTGATCCTTAGTTGAATTTTTCCTTAAAAAACAAGAGAACAAGGTAAAGCAAGTAGAACACTCAATCTAAAAATAAAAGAAAAATGAATGAAGTACCATTGCAAAATGAAGAAGGGAAGCATAAAGATGCACTTGGTTTACGAGCATGAAGTCGATGAGTTGGGTTCCCTCAAGTGAAGAATAATAAAGGAAGCAGTGGCTCTCGTAGGCAGACAAAACTCATATACATGAAGGGGATGAAAGTAGTCTTAAGCATGATAGAGGTAGCTAAGGTTGGCAAAAGTTAGACTAAAGAAGTAAAATTAATGGGTTAAAGAGCAAAACATTCCTTAGAATTTTTTCTCTAAGGATACCAAATATCCTAAACTTTTGTTTGGATCAATTTTATTTTGAAGCTTTTAAAAAGGGAGCAATTTTGCCCTGCCATTAAGGTTGATCATTGGTTGACCGTGCATTTAACTTTCACTACCACCTAGCAACCATATGGCATTAAAAAAAAATAGAATTCCACATGGCCATTAAAGCTTTCTGCCTCTTCTTTCTTAATCATCTCCTCTTCTCCATCTTCCTCCTTCATCTAAAGCTTTGAACCCTTCTTCTTAAAGCAAAGCACAAAGTGGAAATTGGCGCCTCCTTCATCCTCCTTCATTTAAGAGTAAAGTGTAACACTTTAAAATTTCACTATGATTTTTTGTAAATTATATAATTTTTACAACTTACTTTGTCCACTAAAATACATACCATGATAGAAAAGAATCTATCATAGGAATAAAGAGTAAAGCTTACTTCTCAAAATACTACCATGGTAAATAAACATTTATCATGGTAAAAAGGACTTTTTTTAATATTTTCAAACTCTACCGTGGTAGAAAGATGCTATCATAGTAATTTAGAATCAAGATCATTTCTCAAAAGTATATAATGGTAGGAAAAGTCTTTCTAATACATAATATCTCTGCATGTCCAAGGCTTGCCAATTAATTTTTTTAGGTGAAAAGATGAAATTACCCCTTTGTGAAAAAAAGGACCTTTTATTGAAAATAAATGAACTTCAATTATTATTTATGGATGTTCTATTATAAATTTTATTTGAATAACTTGTAAATTTTATCTCCTTTAACTAGTGTAGATCATGTAGACTATATGAAATAAACAAATGCTTTGTTGTAAATAAATAAATTTCAAATATTATTTATGGATTTTATGTTCTAAATTTCATTTGGGTAACTTGTAAATTTTCTTTCATTTAATAAATGTAAATCATGTGGACTATGTAAAATGAAACAATTGTTTTGTTGTTAATAAATGAACTTTAAATATTATTTACAAAGTTTCTATTGTAAATATCATCTGAATAATTTATAAATTCAAAAGGCATATAAAAGTTCATGCCACAAAGCCTAAGTCAACACCATAGGC